AGGAGACCTATGGACATAGGCTTTGGTCTGGGGAGCAGTTTGGAGAAGCTACTTTGAAGGAAACTATGGTGGAATAGCTATTTACTTCAAGGTTTATTTTGATCTCTCATTTGCTGTAAGATGAAGATGCCTTATTTTGTGTTTCTTACAACAATTTTGTAAGTTTGTTGCACTGCTTGATTTTTTGTATGCAACATTGCCAAGTTTATGTTTCATCTCTGCTAGTAAAGATTTTTCTGTTGACTTTTACTCCAGTCTGTGAGTCTTTTGCATTTCGACTTTGGACGCTGGGCAAAACGTCACTGCGTAACAACCTTTACCTTTACCTAAGGTTATATTTCAGAGGAAAGAATTGGCAAGAAACCCCTATGAAATTAGTAGGGTTGCCATTAGTCATCAGGCAATCTGAAGGCATAAACAAAGAGAGACCCCTTAGCAGCAATAACATTCTCAGACACAGTTGTTGCTCTGGAATATCAGTATGGAAAAGGATCTTGTAGCATCTTTGAGCCAAGCTGAGAGGAAGAAGCTGGTTGCATAAGCTCTTGTAGATTTAAGCCTATTTCATTAGATGTGTGAAGTGCTATGAACAGCTATAAAGATCCTTTAAAGTTTAGGCTAAAACACAAATGGATTTGCTTCCTCTTACCAGCATGGAAGCCATTCACTGCTAGAGCATCCAACTCAATATCAACAATTCAGACCAGTAGTAGCTCTTTGGGGCTGCAGACAGAACCCTTCCTAGTCTTATCTCAAGATCTCTGGTGTTCTGTGATGGCCTCCCATCCAATTATTAGCCAGGCCCAACCTTGTTCAGCTTGCATACTCAATTGATACTGGGTGTGGTCAGGAAGGTGTGACACTTTGTTGAGATTTATTAGAGAAGAATTTTAAAAATAAAAGTGACAATATCTTAGTATAGTTATATAGAGCCATTGTGCAAGCTCAGCTGAGCCTTCTACACATTGCTCCGTTAACCTCCTTGAGGATACTGTAAAGCCAAAAGGGACAACTAGTGTCAGCAGGGGATGTAAAGGGAAACACAGTAAGAGATATGTAAAAAAAAAAATACATGGAGTACAAAATGGAAAGGAAAAAGTTTTCCTCCTTCTCTCCAAATAATAAAACCCAAGATCATCCAGTAGTCTCCAAAGGCTGCAGATGGCCCCAAAGTCAGTAAGACCATGAATCCATTCAAGGGTTTTCACTCCATTCTTTAAAGAAGCAATCCGATGTACTCCAGAACAAGTTCAACATCTTGTAGTCATGGAAAACTACTAACTGACTTTGGGCAAGCCATACTCTCTAAGGCAGTGGTTCTCAACTTGTGTGTCCCCAGATGTTTTGGCCTACAACGCCCAGCAATCCCAGTCAGTTTATCAACTGTTGGGATTTCTGGGAGTTGAAGGTCAAAACATCTGGGGACTCACAGATTGAGAACCACTGCTCTAAGGCTTCAGAGGAAGTCAAAGGGAATCCCATCCTTTAACAAACCTTGCCAAAAAAAACCTTTGTGATACAGTCGTCATAAATTGGAAACAACAAAGGATCAGCATCATATTTATGATCCTCAAACAGTTGTTTCTTTCTGTTCTGGAAATTTACCAGGGACTGGCAGCCAGCAGCTTAAGGTCTGTCACCCTTAGATGGATGGCCACATCCAACGACACTCAAAATTTCAACCAGCATATCAGTGCAGCAAGTCCATGAAGCAAGTTAAAATACAAGCACTGAGATCCTCCAAAATGTTTTCCTACAGCATGCAGTCATTGCAAGACTCATGCACTGTTGTGGGAATTAAACTTGATAGCCTCCAATACTCCTTCCAACTCTGAAATGCTATGATTCAGAGCAACCATTTCCTACATGGCCCTTGATGAAGAGCCATGGATAGAGAACAAGGTGAGGAAGAGAGGTAAGAACGTGATTATAATGCCAAAGTGAACCAAGAGAGCTAGCATGGTATAGTAGATTGAGTGCTGGACTGCAACTCTGAAGACCAGGACCTGAATTCCTGCTTGGTCATAGAAATTCACTAGGTAACCGTGAACACATTACACTTTCTCAGGCTCAGAAGAAGTAAAGGCAAATTCCTTCTGACAAATCTTGCCAGGAAAAACCCACGACAGAATTGTCATAAGTCAGAAAGAACTTGAAGGCACACAACAACAACAATGTAGAGACATGATAGAGGGCAAGTCGACTTAGCTAAAGTCAATATTGTATGCTCAACTTAGGCTTTTCAAGTTAAAATGTATAGGGCATTCTGACCCATGTCCTCAGACATCTTAATGTGTTTAGGTCAACTAGTTAGAACTAGTCAAACACGTATTTTTGGAAATAGTGCATGCTCATCATTGGTTAGTTTATATTATTGTCAGAGCCCTTCTATGGGTTAATTGCTGGTGCCATATAATTTTGCAAGAATGTTATACTGCCTTAGTGCTGGTCTGATTCATGTCCTGCATGCTAGAATATGCCCAATATTGTATCTTTCTAAATAAACTGCTGCTTCAAGCTTTGATTTATTGAACCCTAGTGAACTATGTTTTTCCCCCTACAAAGAGAAGAGAAACTCCACCTATGCAAATAGGCCTTTAATGACCACTATTCAATAAGAAGACATGCAACAAGTAGAAGTATCAGTTATTGCACAAGATTGTCTCTATCATGTTCACCAGTCAATAATGATTCCTCATTGAATCATAAGTATAATATAATTTATGTATATCTTGGAACAAGTAACCTTTTTTTGCAATGTGTTACTTTTGCCTATCAATCTTATTCACAATCATTAAGTATAAAAAAAATTATTCTTTCCCCCATATGGCACCATGCGGCTGACATGGACTACAACTCACATAATTTTCAGCCAGCACAGCTATATTGTACATGAATAATGGGAGTTGCAGTACAACATGAAAGGGCTGTTTCTCTTGCAGAGTACCAACTGCCTGTTTGGGAAATGACCCAGCCTTAAAAACATTGCATTGTGCAAGATTTTGGCATATCCTCCTACTCTGCCAGTTGAAACAAATGTGCATTCTAGAGAAACATCCGTTAAAATGTCAACCTACGGTTGCAAACTACATTTCATATGGCTAAATGTCAAGGAATACATTTTCATTTGTTTTTTAAAATCCATGGAAAAGCAATTAAATTTACAAGCAAAAGTACAAGAAGTAAACACTAAAATGCAGAACTCGTATCCCAAGAGTGTTCTATGGCTCCTACCAAAATTTCCAGGAGAAATAAAGTTCATGATACAACACTGACACCAAGGTATGGAAAGAGAGGTCGGGAATCCCAAAAGCTGAGATTCTGCACTTGCAATTTGCTATATTGTCACACTAGGACAGAGTTTCTCAACCTGGGGGTCGGGACCCCTGGAGGGGTCATGAGGGGGTGTCAGAGGGGTCACCAAAGACCACAAGAAAACACAGTATTTTCTGTTGGTCATGGAGGTTCTGTGTGAGAAGTTTGGCCCAATTCAATCATTGGAAGGGTTCAGAATGCTCTTTAATTGTAGGTGAACTATAAATCCCAGCAACTACAACTCCCACAGGACAAAATCAATACCCTCCCCCAATCCCACTAGTATTTAAATTTGGGTGTATTGGGTCTTTGTGCCAAATTTGGTACAATGAATGAAAATACATCCTGCATATCAGATATTTACATTACTATTCATAACAGCAGCAAAATGACAGTTATGAAGTAGCAATGAAACTAATTTTATGGTTGGGGGTCACCATAACATGAGGAAGAGTATTAAGGGGCCGTGGCATTAGGAAGGTTGAGAACCACTGCACTAGGAGAAGATCTAATAATAATAATAATAATAATAATAATAATAATAATAATAATAATAGTTGCTGTTCAACAATTCACTGATAAGTACAAAATTAAGGAGCAAAAGCAAATGAAGATTGCCAGCGGTGAAGACTAGGAAGACTTCTGTGATTTTAAAAATCATGCATCAGGCAGGCTTTTGATAAATGTCCAAAGCTTTACAAAACTACTTTGGAGGGTTGTAAATCCCAAAATTTCCCAATGTTTATGCCTGCTATGATATTCAAGGAGTTGTAGTTCAACACCTGTAGCTTCCCAAACTCTGTCCTTCCTTTAGTGACACATCCTTAAGTACCAATGAAACATAGGAGAAGCAACCCAGTTCCTGAAGGCAGAATCAGCATCCAATTATTGCTTGCGTAGATGCCTCTCCACCTGCCCATATGCTCTTCCCTCAAGTTGTGAAAAGGAGGCTTCTCCCACCCCTTCTAGCTCTTATCTCTCTCTTCCACATCGAGCAGACGTGCTCTCATGTTCTCTACACGGTACATTAGCTTCAGCCTAGAGGAATACCATCTTTCAATGCCTCTTTGTGCAGGCGAGACACTTCCCTATAGATGCCACTATTGTGTGGCCTCCTCCGGCAGCCCATCCTTCAACGTCACCTGCACTTATCCTCCTAAATCACCAACTGGAGCAGCAGAACGACTGCATGTCCTGCCTCATGTTGCAACAGAGGCATTACATCATAACACACAACACGCACACACAACACGCACACATATGAGAATGACTGATTCCCTTTTTTCCACAACTCAACAGCATGAATAATTTTCAAGTTCAACCAGTCCTCCATATTTGTTGGTTGACTTGTGCAGATTTGATTACCAGCAGATTTGATTAAAATGTTATTTCCAAGCATCTCTATCCTCCAGTGTAATTCTATGATCAACTTCTCCTGGACATTGACCACAGAGCTGTCTGAAGAGCTTAGAGAGAATACCTCTCAAGAAATCTCTAGGTCCTCTAGTGCAATTCTATGGTCAGCTTGTGGCAGAGATTTGTTGGAGAATCAGCTGAAGAAGAAATGCAGGACTTTTATTAGTGCTTTTTCCACTTTTGTGAGGTCCCTGCACCCCTAACCCCAGAAAATATGGAGGGCTGACTGTACTCCCACAATAATTAAAAAGAACATAGTGAGAACCCACCATTCATTCCATTGTAGAGGCCTCTGTGATGGGGTGACAGATCATCCACCACCTGTCTCCTCAAGGTGCCTTCTCTGCTGCCACCGCCCAAGTGTTTCAGATGCTCAGGGCTTCCCCCGTAGTGCTGTTTGAGATGCTCAGGGCTCGTGCCTCTCACTTTGGGGAGGTGCTCTGTGCTTCCACTCAAGGTATGTTTTTGATGAAGCTCCGGACTGGCGCTTCCGCTGTGCTTCTGGAGCTCCGGGCTGCTCCCGGGGCGATGTTTTTGAAAATGTTCAGGGCTACTGCTCAGCATGTGCTTTGGCAAGGTTTCTGGGCTGCTACAGCTGTGCTTCTGCTGATCTGGGGCACCTTTGCCATGTGTTTTGTGGTGCTCTGGGCTTGGCCCTTTCAAATGCTTCTGGTGATCAGGACTTCCAGAACTCCTGCGTCTGGGGAGATGATCGGGACTAGCGCTCCTGTGCTTCTGATGCTCGGGACTCCCCTCGCTCCTCGTTTTCTGGAGATGTTCAGGACTTGAGCTTGCATGGTGCTTGTGATGATCAGGGCTGTCTGTGCTGCCGGTGCTGGAAGTGCTGCTTCCATCACCGACGTCCCTTATGAAGGCGGTGGTGGCATTTAATTGGTGGCAGAGGCTGGCTTGGCTATCGATTGAGTTCCTACAGCCAGCAACACCACCCTTCTCGTCATCCAGCAAGACACAAAGCTCTTTCAGTTCCAAGTTCTCCTTCACCACCTCTTCCTGTCTCACTTCCAGTTCCTTGAGCTTCTGCAAATATAAGGCAACCTCTTTGTGCATGACGCCAGCACTGTACCGGCCAAGTCTCTGCCACTCTCGGGAGACTTTTTTGCCTTTCTGTCGGTCATCATCCAAGAAGCAACAAAGGTCTCTCAGCTCCTGGTTGTCTTCCTGAAGTTTCTGGTTGATGTCCTTCATAAGAAAGAGAGAATAATTCATCATCAAGGAATGACAGGGTATAGTGAAAAATGTATTTTCTATGGAATACATTTTAGCAGAACACAGAGAAATCTTGCAAACCCCACATTCACCAATTCCATGCACTTGGCAATGATACACACATACAAGGCCAGACCTACATAGTTGGGTATTCAGTAAAAGCTAAAAATTCACTTCCCGAATCTGTCTTTCTCCCATGATCTCCCCCTTTCTCCCCATCATCCTTCACAAAATTCCCACTCCTGCATCCATGGCTTTTTGAATAATAGTCCATTGTGAAAGGAAGTCATAGGGAGGAAGGAGCAAGCTTGCTTCTTGGTGCCCTGGAGACTAAGAGGAACAATGGCTTCAAACTACAGGAAAGGAGATTCCACCTGAACATTAGGAAGAACTTCCTAACTGTGAGAGCTGTTTAGAAGTGGAACTCTCTGCCCTGGAATGTAGTGGAAGCTCCTTCTTTGGAGGCTTTTAAACAGAGGCTGGATGGCCAACTAGTTTAGTGCTCTGAATGTGATTTTCCTGCTTCTTGGCAGAATGGGGTTGGACTCGATGGCCCAAGAGGTCTCTTCCAGCTCTATGATTCATTGAAGCAGGCACCTGAGTACAAAGCAAGATATACAACTCAAGCAATAGCAAATACCAATGCCATTTGGAATTATCTAAATGATTAAAGAATCAAGCTCCATAAAGATAAACTCATTGTTCAAGTGTTTTCACATGTGAGAAAACTATATAGGTAAAGGATGGATAAAGTTTGATGTAAGGATTGTCAAGGACATTTGTGAAGATAGAAACCCCATGTCTCCTGATGCCTCTTAACACTAAGAATATTTTTCAGCAACTAAAGTGTGTCATACTACTTCTGAAGACTATCAGGAGCAGTATTTAGGTCCCCAGACACATGCTGCTACTTTCAATCAGATATGTGCTGGCTGCAAGCAGTCACATAGGGAAAATATGGGTCTTGTACAAAAAAAAATACACACACCAGAAAATTAATTTGCCGATTTCTTCTTTGAGAGAATTAGAGTCGGTCCTCCACATTTGTGAGTCTCATGTTTGTGGATTTGGTTACTCACAAATTTGGGAATCTCTCTGTCTTCCATTGCAACTATATGGTCGTCTTCTGCAAGCAGTGGACTGGAATTGTGTTGGAGGGCAAAAAAATACCTAGAGAGAAAACTCTAGAAATGTATAGATCCTCTAGCACAACTCTATCATCTATTTTCAATAGATTTGGACTCTAAGATCACACTGATTCACAGAAAGAGGTCTTCTCTCTCTAGGGGCCACAGTGGCAAAACAGGTTAAACTGTTGAGCTGCTGAACTTGCTGACTGGAAGTTTGGCAGTTTGAATCTGCAGGACAGGGTGAGCTCCCATTGTTAGCCCCAGCTCCTGCCAACCTAGCAGTTCGAAAACATGCAAATGGGAGTAGATCAATAGGTACTGTCTCGGCGGGAAGGTAAACAGTGCTCCAAGCAGTCATGCCACCCACACGACCTAGGAAGTATCTACAGACAACCCAGACTCATTGGCTTAGAAATGGAGATGAACACTACCCCAGAGCTAGAGATGATGGCAAAGCCTTTACCTTTATCTGTGTATCTGTGTTTCATTGTTTTGAGGCATTGAATGTTTTCCTTGTATCTGTATATGTCTGTATATGCTAGAATCCGCCCTGAGTCCCCTCGGGGAGATAGGGCGGAATACAAATTAAGTATTATTATTATTTTCTCAGGAAAAACATACACTTTCACTATCACAGTGGTCCTGCACCCCTAACCCCAACAAATGTGAAAGGCGGACTGCATAATGCAAAATAGCCATTTTCCCAAAGGGTGCCCATAGGACACATGGTTTTGCACGTGAAACTGCAGCCTGGAAAGGGAGACTTTGAGCTGAAAAATGGCTGTTGCTGGTTTACTGGGAGATGAAGGTTTCAGCCTCTTCTATTCTTCCATTCTATTTTCCCAAGAGAAAAAGGTATCAGAGGACTCTGTTCCGCATTTACTTGAGGCACACCAGCTTCCACTTCTATCAGTAGGTCAATTGAGTGCATCATTTCAAAGTTTTATATTCCTCCTCTGCTGGCTGGATCAATACCTGGCCTGAGATATGACCAAATATTAACTGGAAAAGGGCTAGGTGAAGCTGTCTTTTTTCTTATCTGTTCTTTGTTTTTCATTGCAGGGCTGGAGCCACGGTGGCACAATGGGTTGAATGCTTGTGCCGACTGAACTGCTGATATGGAGGTTGGTGGTTCGAATCCCTGAGACAGGGTGAGCTCCCTTTTATCAGCGCCAGCTTCCCATGCTAGGACATGAGAGATGTTAAAACATCCGGGCCTCCCCTGGGCAATGTCCTTGCAGATGGTCAAATCTCTCACACCAAAAATGACTTGCAGTTTTTCAAGTTGCTTCTGACATGAAAAAAAATGTAGTGCAAAGCACACAGAAACAGAAATCCCTGGGAAAGTTACATTTTAGTACTACAAATCCCAAACTCCCACAGTCAACATAACCACTTATGGAGGGATTCTATAAGCTCAAGTACTAAAGAAAGTAACTTTTCCATTCTGTTTAGACTAACATAGAAATAGAGACTCCAATTTATAGGGCCAGTTTAATTTGTAATCCATAGACTGCCTGCAAAGCAACCCAAGTGGTTTTGACATGAATTTATTTTATGCGCAGCCCACTTGCATTAACAAAAATAGAAGCTGGAGGAACCCGGAGAGGCTCATGAAAGCATGAAAGCAAAGCAAGGCTAAATGACTGGCAAATATATCACCGGTGGGAGGCATCATGATAGTGAAAACAGGATGATGTAATGGCAAACTTTCCGAAGTCCATCAATGGAATTGGGCCAGGGCACCAAGCAGACAAAGTAAAGGTCCCAAAATACCATGGTGGGTGTAATGCACTACTTATTTGTGAAGAGGAAGGGGGGCAGAACCCATAGATGAAAGCACCTGCTTGCTATGCAGAAGGTAGCAAATGCAATCCTTGGGATCTCCAGGTAAAGATGGGAAAAACCTACAGGGAAACCTGCTAGTGAGAGTCAACGAATCTGTACTGGGGAATTTAGCACCTGAACTGGAGACAGTAATTGTTTTGTAGTACAGTTCCCAGGTTGTATTTTGCCCTGTGCTCCAGTGGTTTCACACTGTGATTCTAAACAGCCTTAATCTGCATGATCAAATACTGGAGAGAATGGGAGTTGTAGTCCAACACAATAGAGGAGGGTGCCAGGTAAAGAAGGCAGATATACAACTACGTATCCCAACCTTCTTCAAAGGGCTTAGAGCACCACCACATACACTTCTTCACACAGACAGAAGATCATTTATCTTCAGGATAAACCCCCATCAGTTGGGTTGAGAAAGATAAACTGGTCCAAAGGTGGATTCAGTGATTCCCAAGCTCTAGTCCTGGGGGTGTTTAATGCCTCAGTTTCCTCGACCAATGATAAGACATTCTGGGGTGTGAAGTCCAAAACACCTGGGAGACCAGAGTTTTGGAAACACTGACTGGTGCTTAATGATTATGGGGTAACCCAAGCTTAAAGTTGCTGTCCAAGGTGCTGAACAGGGTTTTGAAGGTGGGAGTCAGCTCTTCGTGTAGTGCTTTTGAAATCTGAATTAAAACCCAAACTAGATTCACTGCCCCACTGATACCAGATCCACGAGCCTCCATTATGAGGATGGCAAAGCCACTGGCTCTCTTCCTTCCATAGTACACCATGGGTACATCTACGCTGTAGAATGAATGCAGTTTGACTCCAGTTTAACTGGCATGGCTCAATGATATGGAATCCTGGGAGCAGTAGTTTGGCAAGATCTTTAGTCTTCTTGGGAGAGATAGGATGGCCTATAAATATTATTATCATCATTATCATCATCATCATCATCATTTAGAGAGCTGGTGCCTCAGGAAACTACACATAACAACTTTAATAACAACTTTATTTATGGACCGCCCCATCTCCCCAAGGGGACTCAGGTCAGTTTACACACAAAGAAGGCAAACATTCAATGCCCAAACTCAAATATAAATATTTTAAAACAAACAGAATAATACAAAAATAATAACCATAAACTTGTGACAAAAGAGAAATTAACACCAAAATGATTCCTTTGCATTGAGCCATGACAGTTAAAGGAGTGTCAAACTCAGGCCCGTAGCCAGGATTTCGTTTCGGGGGGGGGGGCTGAATTTTTTTCAGGGGGGGGTTCGGGGGGGGTGTTTCGGGGGGGGGTGAGTCTGAGTGAAAGAGGGTCTACCCTAGCAAACCTTTTGTATTGTTACCCCAATACCCCCATGCATATGGGATATATTGAGTATGGTGATCAGATCATGATATGAATAAACATAACAGTTTAAATGCACCAGTAAGGCCTTTTCGCGAACCACCATGAGAATTTCGGGGGGGGGGGGGGCTGAAGCCCCCCGAGCCCCCCCCCCGGCTACATGCCTGGTCAAACTGCATTCATTCTACAGTGCAGAATCTTTATGTTAATACATTAAACAGACATGAGATAGCCATCTTTTAATGATGCGTTGACTGTAGATTCCTGCCTAGCAGTGGGTTGGACTAGATGCTCCTTAAGGGCTTCTTGAACGCATTTGTATGATTCCACGATTCTGTGTGCTCGGGAATGTGTGCTAGATTTGGCTCTTCTTCCCTGACATCAGTGCAGAGTGGAGCATATGCTTTTTGCACGCAACAGTTGCAAGGTTCAGTACTTCACATCTCCAGTTAACCGGATAATATGGAAAAACCCTTAATTGCACATGACCCTGGAGAGGGGATGTCATTCAAAGCAGACCGAATTGTTCCACATGGTAGACATCACTGAGTTAGAGCAGACAAAACTGGAGTCACTGATTCAGGTAATTATAGGAGGCTCCAAGCTCTGCCTGCTCTCCTGTGGGAAGGATCCTTCAATCCAAACTGTCACACTGAAACATTGCCAAATGCAATCTTAACATGATACATTTGTGTTACTTATAGACCAGTGAAAAACAGGATATAAATCATTCCAATAGTTCATTGGAATGAGATATATATATAATCTAATTCTAGCTCCCCAGTGCCTGCCAATGGCCCCTTTCCAAGTGTTGCAACCTGCAGATCTCTGGTTTGGAGATTGATTCCATGTGATTTGGGGCTGAGAAACCCAAAGGACAAGAGAGCACTGAAAATGAAAGTCTTATTTTTTAGGAAAAGCATGATCTCATCTTGAGAGTTCACTCTGAGATTAACCAAGTTGGGGAGAATGAAGATTAAGATGAGAGTGAGAGAGAGGAAACTGAGTCACAATGACATTGAGCACAACTTCCTGGCGGTCCACCTAGCTCCATCCCAAAATCTATCCCATAACAATGCAAAATATTTGTCTGTAAGATTTTGCTATTTTAGAAGAACTTGCTTAGCAAACAGAGAATCACTCTGTGAGTAATCATGAAAGTTGCACATATAAATAACTTTCCCAAATTCTATAATGATGCCATCTGCCACAGTAGAGTCAACATGCCAAAGTGCTTTGAGTGTTGGACTACAGCTCCAAAGAATCATAGAATCATAGAGTTGGAAGAGACTTTGTGGACCATCCAGTCCAACCCCTGCCAAGAAGCAGGAAAATTGCATTCAAAGCACCCCCAACAGATGGCCATCCAGCCTCTGTTTAAAAGCCTCCAAAGAAGGAGCCTCCACCACACTCCGGGGCAGAGAGTTCCACTGCTGAACAGCTCTCACAGTTAGGAAGTTCTTCCTAATTCAGATGGAATCTCCTTTCTTGTAGTTTAAAGCCATTGTTCCATGTCCTAGTCTCCAGGGCAGCAGAAAACAAGCCTGCTCCCTCCTCCCTATAAGTTCCCCTCACATATTTATAAAAGTGACAAATGTAAGATACTCCACTTTGGCAGGAAAAACGAAATGCAAAGATACAAAATGGGGACAAGGCCTGGCTTGAGAACAGTATGTGTGAAAAAGATCTTGGAGTCCTCATGGACAACAAGTTAAACATGAGCCAACAATGTGATGTGGCGCCAAAAAAAACCCAATGGGATTTTGGCCTGCATCAATAGGAGCATAGTGTCTAGATCTAGGGAAGTAATGCTACCCCTCTATTCTGCTTTGGTTAGACCACACTGGAATATTGTGTCCAATTCTGGGCACCACAATTCAAGAGAGATATTGACAAGCTGGAATGTGTCCAGAGGAGAGTGACTAAAATGATCAAGGGTCTGGAGAACAAGCCCTATGAGGAGCGGCTTAAGGAGCTGGGCATGTTTAGCCTGAAGAAGAGAAGGCTGAGAGGAGCTATGATAGCCATGTATAAATATGTGAGAGGAAGCCACAGGGAGGAGGGAGCAAGCTTGTTTTCTGCTTCCTTGGAGACTAGGACGGAACAATGGCTTCAAACTACAAGAAAGGAGATTCCATCTGAACATGAGGAAGAACTTCCTGACTGTGAGAGCCATTCAGCAGTGGAACTCTCTGCCCGGAGTGTGGTGGAGGCTCCTTCTTTGGAAGCTTTTAAACAGAGGCTGGATGGCCATCTGTCAGGGTGATTTGAATGCAATATTCCTGGTTCTTGGCAGGGGGTTGGACTGGAGGGCCCATGTGGTCTCTTCCAACTCTTTGATTTCATTCTATGATTCTATAGCTGAGCCTGGGTCTCTAGAGTATAGATCAGGGCCATCATGTATAGGAGAACAGAATTGAAATCCCATTCAGCCATGTAAAATCCACTGGGTGACTCCAGGCAAACCATACACTCGAACTTTCAGAAAACCCTGTGATAGGGTCACTTCAGAATTTCTGTAAATCCTAAACAACTCAAAGGTACACAACAACATCTGCAACAGTGCCTGGCCAAGTTTTAACACTGGGATGAGAGGATAACAAGTATTTCAAGCAGCACTGAATTGTGCATCCTTTTAACAAATATTATTGTACTTAGAGCACCCAGAAAGCCAAGAGAGGATTTCAGTCAGAATTCTGGGAAGGTGCCTTGGAGGATTACAAAGCCCGGAATCACCTAGCCAATGACCATGCTGGTTGGGAGAGCTCAAAAACTGGATTATCTTCCCAAATTAGATGAAATCTGGTGCCTTGCAGGCTGTAACCCCCCATTTTTCAGAGAAGAACATCCTACAACTCTGTCCCACATCTAGTTCTCATTGCTTGTCCAAATTGTTTTATGCCTGAGGCTGTTAGGAATTGTGGGAGTTGAAGTCCAAAACACCTAGAGGGCTGAAGTTTGCCCATGCCTGTTTTAGACAGTCCTGTCTAAAGGTCCTCCTTACCTTGAGTCCACGGATTTCTCCCAGGTGGAGCTGGAGGCGGCGGTTGACCTCGCGGATGAGGTTGCTGTGGTCCAGCATGGCACTCATCTTCTCAGCCTCGGCCTTGCGCAGGCTCCGAACCAGCTCCTCTTTGGTCCACTTCAGCAGCTCCTCATCGGCCACCTTGGAGAGGTCTTCAGCCACCCCAGCCCCTGCCACCGCCTGCCCTGCTACACACCCCGCTTCAGGCGTCCCTGCGGCCACCGGCGTCCCTGCAGCCGACCCACCAGGCCCCGCTCCAGCACCTGTCGCCAGGACCTTGGACATCCTGGCCCGGCCAAACTCCCCTCCAAGGACAGTGAATGGAGTGAGCGCTGGATCAGGGCCAGGAAGAGAAGTCCGACCCTTCCAGGCTCAGTGAAGATATGGAGAAGCGGCCTTTGGACAAAAAGAAGAAGAAAAGAATAGGAATAGCTCTTCAACCTTCTCAGGACTCAACAAAGAATTTGGAGAAGGAGTTTTTGGCAAGTTTGTTTCAACTCCTCTTCAAAAGAAAAAGTAAACAATAACCTTTTCTCCTTAGTCTGGCTGATCTCTTCAGGTCTCCAATGAGCACCTACAGCTCTTCAAGGTGTGGCTTTGGCCCCTCCAGGGCCCAGTGAAAATTGAGAGAAGGGGTCTTTGGGTGAGTTTGATGTCAGCCCCCTTCTCTGAGAAAGAAAGAAAGAAAGAAAGAAAGAAAGAAAGAAAGAAAGAGTAGAAGAGTGCAGCAAGCCCCTAACTGGGAAAGAAATCTGTCATCCAAGGAGGTCTGCAGATCTTTCAGTAGTGACTTCAGGAGAAATCCAACCTGGAGGCTCTTGCCATCCAAGGGGACAGAACTTTCTATTCCCTTCAGTCCATCCAATCCCTTCAGGTCTTTAAAGGAGGTCTGCAGATCTTTCAGGAGTGACTTTGGAGTCCAACCCAGAAGCTCTTGGCATCCAAAGAGACAGAGAACTTTCTGTTCCCTTCAGTCCATCCAATCCCCCCAGGTCTTCAAAGGAGATCCGCAAATCTTTCAGGGGTTACTTCAAGGCAAGTCTGGAGTCCAACCTGGAGGCTCTTGACATCCCAAGGAGGCAAAGAATGTTCTGTTCCCTTCAGTCCATCCAGTTCCTTCAGGTCTCCACAGGAGGTCTGCAGCTCTTTCAGGAGTGACTTCAGGGAGACTTTGGAGTCCAACCCAGAGACAGTGAGTACTGAGAACTTCTCTTCCTCAGTCAGAAGGGTAGACACCCTGCCTGAAGCCTGGCATCCCTGCCTTTAACTCTGAGGAAAAGGAGGCCATCCAGAACGCCTCCATCCCTTGGACCGACCTGGGAAACTTCAGATCCCGACGTTCCTCTTTGTGCTCCTGTCGCAGGATCCGGGAAGAGGGAAATTCCAAAGCCGGCTTCTACCTTCAACCTGATTCACCTGAAGACTATCAGTAGCTATTCTTCTCCTCCACAGCAATCTAGACTTTCTTGTGCCGGTTTCAGGCACCAACTCGCCTCCTCCGGCGTCCTGGAGAGGAACGCTACCCGATGTAAGGGACGAACACGTGTACAGGCTTCCCCACGTGCTTAGCGAGGGTTCCCTCTTGTCCCTCACATCCAAAAAGAAGCAGGGTTCCTATGGACGTCGGGAGAAACCCAAAGGCTGGCTGGAGAGAGAGAGAGAATAAGCCTTTCCCTTTCTTTACTGATGAGAGGAAAGAAAGGTGTGTTCCAGGCGACCCGCGAGTCCTCCCTGGGCAAGTGGGAACGGGGAGGCTTCAGACACAAAGAAGGGCGACTCCTGGAAAGTCGCGTGTCCGCTTCCCCAGCCTTCCCACGCTCTTCTGGACGCCGGCAACAGATGGAGAAAGAGAGAGAGAAGGAGTGGAGCCGGGTCTTTCTCGCTTTGACTCAACTGGGCTCATCCCTCGAGGCCATCCTCCTCCTCCTCCTCCTCCTCTTCTTCTCTCAATGGGTCCGAGCCCAGCCCTGGCCAGGAGAAGAAGGAAAGCGCATTTGGGAGGCTTTGCGGTCACTTTGCCCGGCCGGACGAGAGAAGGCGGTTGAGAGGCAGCTCTTTTTCTCCCCTTTCGCCTCCTCCTCCCTTCAGCCGGGAGGCGGCGACGGAGGGCCACGTGCGAGACCCCAGGGAAGGAAAGAAGGAAGGAAGGAAGGAGTGAAAGGAGGAGGGAGGGAAAGGAAGGGAAAGGATGGACGCGGCTCTTTGGCGCCACCTCTCGACCCAAAGGAGCAGCGCCACTCCTCTCCTCTCATCCTTCCTTCCTTCCTTCCCTCGTCTCCCTTTGCGCGCATCTATCTGCCGCCCTTTTCAACCCCATTTGACACCACTTTCACTGCCACCAGAGGCGGCCCTAGGTAATTTTCAACAGTAAGCAAACAGTATTTTGGCGCCCCTCCCCCCCAACCAATCATTGATATATATATTTTCTGTTCGTTGTGGGAGTTCTGTGTGCCATATTTGGTTCAATTCCATAATTGGTGGAGTTCAGAATGCTCTTTGGCTGTAGGTGAACTATACATCTCAGTAACAACACTTGCCGCACTTGCTCCCTTGCCTGGCCCACTTTGGGTCCAGAGGCGTGCCTGAAGACCCCAGCGTGTGCACCAAAAGTCACCTCTTCTCCTGACTTTCTCCTCAGCCATTGGGACCAAGAGAGAGAGAGAACAGACAGAGGTGGAGATGCCCACCTTTCCTGAAGGTAGGCGCAAAAACAAAGGAGGGAGCGGAGGTGGGAGATACCTCCAGCCGGAGGGGTCTCTCTCTCTCTCTCTCTCTCTCTCTCTTGGTCCCAATGGCTGAAGAGAAAGTCAGGAGAAGAGGCGACTTTTGGTGTGCACGTTGGGGTCTTCAGACATGCCTCCGGACCCAAAGCGGGCCAGGCGCAGCGGCTCCGCCCCTTGGCCCACCCGCGGATTGGGGAGAGGAGAGGAGGCGGGTGGAGCGCCGGGGGATCGGGAAAGGGAGCCGGTCATGGGGAAGGGATCGAACACGGAGAACGATGGAGCGCCGGCTCTGCTCGCGCACCCGGTGGCCGGGTGGAGCAGGAACGAGAGGGGCGAGGCGAGGCTCAAGGGCCCGGCCCCTTTGGGAAGAGGATCGCCCGGCAGCGAGGCAAGAAAGCCGAGGCTCCCCCCGGACTGCTAGGGCTGTTGTGAGCTGAGGGGGTGCTCCTCAAGTGGCGGTCGAGGGGCATTTACAGAGGCGCCTCTGCGCCCCTGGCAAAAAAAAGTGTTCTGCGACTGCTTACTTCGCGTAATGGACGAGCCGCCCCTGACTGCCACCCATCCAATGTCAGCCTTGGCCCCATCCTGACAGTACACACGACTTCTCCAGAATTGATATAGATAGTATTAGACACTTTAAAGATTGCGAGGAGGCAGCTAAGACTCAGAAGAACCCCCTTCCAATAATATGCTTGGCATTTAGAATCATTAGAGTTGGAAAAGACCTCGTGGGCCATCCAGTCCAACCCCATTCTGCCAAGAAGCAGGATAATCACGCTTGGATGATGAGGTGATCGGGGATGGGATTTGTGATAACTGTGTATTGATGATTGCTTATTAGTTGTTAATGAAAATGTGTAATTTAACTGTTATTGTATATTAATTATTGCTGTTTTTATTGTCTTTGCTGTTTGAAAACCACTGTGAGTCGCCCTCGGGCTTGAGATACAGCGGTATACAAGAATAGTAAATAAATAAATAAATAAATAAATAAATAATCGCATTCAAAGCACCCCCGACAGATGACAATCCAGCTTAAAAGCCTTCATAGAAGGAGCCTCCACCAGTAGTGGAACTCTCCACTGCAGAGAGTTCCACTGCTGAACAGCTCTGGCAAACAAACTAATCCAATATGGGCTAGGCAAAAAGTACGGTGAGGTGGATCAGTAATTGGTTAGATGGACGAACCCAGAGGGTGCTCACCAATGCTTCTTCTCCATCCTGGAAAGAAGTGACAAGTGGAGTGCCATCAGCAGGGTTCCGTCCTGGACCCGGTCCTGTTCAACATCTTTATTAATGACTTAGATGAAGGGCTAGAAGGCAGGATCATCAAGTTTGCAGACGACACCAAATTGGGAGGGAGAGCCAATACTCCAGAGGACAGGAGCAGAATTCAAAACGATCTGGACAGATTAGAGAGATGATTGGCCAAAACTAAGAAAATGAAGGACCACAGGGACAAATGCAAGATACTCCACTTTGGCAGGAAAAACAAAATGCAAAGATACAGAATGGGGGGTGCCTGGCTCGAGAGCAGTACGTGTGAAAAAGATCTTGGAGTCCTCGTGGACAACAAGTTAAACATGAGCCAACAATGTGATGTGGCAGCAAAAAAAGCCAATGGGATTTTGGCCTGCATCAATAGGAGCATAGTGTCTAGATCTAGGAAGTAATGCTACCCCTCTATTCTGCCTTTGGTTAGACCATACCTAGAATATTGTGTCCAATTCTGGGCACCACAATTCAAGAGAGATATTGACAAGCTGGAAAGTGTCCAGAGGAGGGTGACTAAAATGATCAAGGGTCTGGAGAACAAGCCCTATGAGGAGCGGCTTAAGGAGCTGGGCATGTTTAGCCTGAAGAAGAGAAGGCTGAGAGGAGATATGATAGCCATGTAAATATGTGAGAGGAAGCCACAGGGAGGAGGGAGCAAGCTTGTTTTCTGCTGCCTTGGAGACTAGGACATGGAACAATGGCTTCAAACTACAAGAGAGGAGATTCCATCTGAACATGAGGAAGAACTTCCTGACTGTGAGAGCCGTTCAGCAGTGGAACTCTCTACCCCGGAGTGTGGTGGAGGCTCCTTCTTTGGAAGCTTTTAAAAAGAGGCTGGATGGCCATCTGTCAGGGGTGATTGAGTGCAATATTCCTGCTTCTTGGCAGAATGGGGTTGGACTGGATGGCCCAGGAGGTCTCTTCCAACTCTTTGAATTCTATGATTCCATGATTCTATGATATAGATAGTATTAGACACTTTAAAATTTGCAAGGAGGCAGCTAAGACTCAGAAGAACCCCTCCCAATAATATGCTTGGCACTTGGAAGAGACTTTGTGGGTCATCCAGTTCAACCCCATTCTGCCAAGAAGCAATGTATATACTATATATATATACATACACACACATATATATATATATTTGTCATGTCAGGAGCGACCTGAGAAACTGCAAGTCGCTTCTGGTGTGAGAGAATTGGCCGTCTGCAAGGACATTGCCCAGGGGACGCCCAGATGATTTGATGTTTTATCATCCTTGTGGGAGGCTTCTCTCATGTCCCCGCATGAGGAGCTGGAGCTGATAGAGGAAGCTCATCCGCACTCTCCCCGGATTCGAACCTGCGACCTGTCGGTCTTCAGTCCTGCCGGCACAGGGGTTTAACCCACTGCGCCACCGGGAGCTCCACCCCCAACAGATGGCTATCCAGTTTAAAAGCCTCCATAGAAGGAGCCTCCACCACACTCCAGGGCAGAGAGTTCCACTGCTGAACAGCTCTCACAGCCAGAAAGTTCTTCCTCATGTTCAGATGGAATCTCCTTTTTTGTAGTTTGAAACCATTGTTCTGCATCCTAGTCTCCAGGTCAGAAAACAACAACAACAACAACAATAGTGTAGACTCTTCAAGGAAGCAGATAAAACAAATGATCACATTCTCAGCTACTGCAAGGCAATTGTGCAAACAGACTACAAGCAGAAGCATAACACCATTGCCCACATGATTCATTAGAACTTGTGCCACAAACACCATCTGCCTGCGATAAAGAACTGGTGGGATCACAAGCCAGAAAAAGTTACAGAAAATGAACACGTCAAACTACTCTGGGACTTCCAGATTCAGACAGACAGAGTTTTGAAGCATAATACTCCTGACCTCACAATCATGTTAAAAAATAAAGTATGGATTGTCGAAGTTGCAATCCTAGGTGACAGCAGGATTGAAGAGATACAACTGGAAAAGCTGACATGATATGAGGCTTTAAAGATCGAACTGCAAAGACTCTAGCACAAACCAGTAAAGGTGGTCCCAGTGGTGATCGGCACACTGGGTGCAGTGTCTAAAGACCTTGGCCTACACTTAAAAACAATCAGTGCTGACAAGATTACCATCTGCCAGCTGCAAAAGGCCACCTTACTGGGATCTGCGCATATTATTCGCCAATACAATTCACCTAGACACTTGGGAAGTGACCGATGTGTGATCCAGTACAACAGACAGCAGAGAATCTGCCATGGACTCATCTTGTTGTGTTTCAAATAATAATAATAAATAAAACTTTATTTATACCCTGCCACCATCTCCCCAAGGGGACTTGGGGCGGCTTACA